GGGCCGAGCTGGGCAAGTACGAGCCGGGCACGTTGAAGAGGAAGGCGTCTGGGCCGTGCCCAGAGGTGCTGACCATCGAGTCCCCCCCGCCGGAGCCACCAGAGTGCCAGTCGCCCAAGATGACCACCTTCCAGGACAGCGAGCTCAGCAGCGAGCTGCAGGTGGCCATGACGGGCGAAGGCCCCGAGGATGTCCCCGAGAAAGCGGCGAACCCCGCGGCCCCCGGTTACCGCTCGCCGCCGGGGCTGGGCGGCCGCGCCCGGCTGATGAGCAGCTCGCAGGAGCTGCTGGGGGACGGCCCGCGGGGCCCTCCTGCCGCTGCCATCTCCAAAAGCCAGGAGTACCTGGCCGAGGGGACCGGGGAGAGCCCCCCTGCGCCGCCCAAGGAGATCCGCCCGCCCCGGCACGGCCACCCCGTGAAGCGTGCCAGCGTGCCCCCGGTGCCCGGCAAACCCCGGCAGCCCTTCCCAGCCTCCGCCGGGCAGCTGACCCCACCGCAGACCCCCGGCAAGGCTCGACCCTCGTCCCCACAAGGCCCGGCGGCTCCTCACGCCACCGCCAAGGTGAAGCCCACCCCGCAGCTGCTGCCGCCCGGCGAGCGCCCGGCATCGCCCCGCTCCCTGCCCCAGTCGCCCACGCACCGCGGCTTCGCCTATGTCCTGCCGCAGCCCACCGAGGGCGAGGCGGCACCACCGGGGGTGCCCGTCCTGCCCGTCTCGGTGCCCGTGCTGTGCCTGCCGCCGGCGGGCGAGGGCGAGGAGGAGCCGGGCAGGCCGAAGAAGAGAGCGCACAGCCTGAACCGCTACGCCGCCTCCGACAGCGAGCAGGAGAGGGACGAGCTGCTGGTGCCGGACGCGGGGCCCTACGCCACCGTCCAGCGCCGCGTGGGCCGCAGCCACTCGGTGCGGGCACCCGCCGGTGGCGACAAGAATGTCAACCGCAGCCAGTCCTTCGCCGTGCGCCCCAAGAAGAAGGGACCCCCGCCGCCCCCTCCCAAGCGCTCCAGCTCTGCCATCTCCAGCGCCGGCATGGCCGAGGACTTCCCCAAGGAGGGTGAGGGCGACGCGGCCGTCGGAGCCCCGGGCGAGGGTGAGAGTCGCCGGGAGCAGCGGCGGGCGAGCGACCTGGGCGGCAGCGTGGACACGGGCAGCGCCGGCAGCGTGCGCAGCATCGCGGCCATGCTGGAGATGTCCTCCATCGGCGGAGGGGCCCGAGGGCTGGCACTGCAGAAACCACACGTGGCACCCGGGCCGGGACCAGCGCCGGCCAAAGCGCCCGAGGGCTACTACCTACAGCCCGGTCCTCCCCCGGGCAGCCCCGACCGCGCCCGCGTGGCCACCGTCCTGGCCACCGTGAAGCATAAGGAGGCCATCGGGCTGGACGGGGAGGTGGTGAACCGGCGCCGGACCATCAGCGGCCCGGTCACCGGGCTGGTGGCAGCCGCCCGCCGCGAGCGCACCGACAGCGTGCGGTCGGAGGCGGCCGCCGACGGCCCCGGCGAGCGGCTGCGGGTGGAACGCGGCGGCTCCCCCGACGGCATCCCCTTCGCCGAGGACGGAACCCTCACCATCAAACAGCGGCCGCGGCCCCTGGGGCCGGCCCGGGGAGAGACGGGCGAGGGGCTGTCCCCGGCGCACCGCCACGGCGACCTGGCCAAGGTGGAGGCCAGCGCCACCCTCAAGCGGCGGATCCGGGCCAGGCAGAGCCAGCAGGACGGCGTCCGCTTCGTCCTCACCGAGTCCGACACCGTCAAGCGCCGGCCCAAAGCCAAGGACAAGGAGGCGGCGCTGGAGCCGGCCACGCTCGCCGTGTACCAGAACGGCACCGGCACCGTGAAGCGGCGGCCGGCCTCGGAGCTGAGCGGGGCTGAGCCGCCGCCCACCCCGCCGCTCGCCGCCCGCCCCGACGGCCCCGAGTTCGTCCCGCCGCCCGCCGAGCCCAAGAAACCCTTCAAGCCGCCGGTGTCCCCCAAGCCTGTGCTGACGCAGCCGCCTCAGAAGATGCCTGGGCCGCCCGTGCCCGTCCCCAAAAAGGTGCCCATCCCAAGCCCCGGCAGCCCAGGTAGGTGCCCCGCCAGCCCCATGGGACGGGCGCTCCGCGGGGCGGACGCCGGGTGTCCCAGCCGGTCCCGCCGCCCTCCTGCCCCTCTCCCTTCTCTCCGCAGAGGTGAAGCGGGTCCATGGCACGCCGCCCCCGGTGTCCCCCAAGCCCACGCCGCCCCCCACGGCGCCCAAACCCCCCAAACCCCACGCCGCCATCCAGTCGGTGAGCGCCAGCTCCACGCCAGCCCCATCGCCAGCCCGGCAGCTGAGCCCCGCGGCCAAACCCTCCAGCACGCCGCCCTCGCTCTGCTCCAGCCCCGCCAAGCCCCTGTCGCCCGGAGCGCAGCCCCAGCAGGTGCCGGTGAAGCCGCCCCGCTCCACCATCGCCAGCCCGTCCGTGGACAGCGCCGGCCCCGAGCTGGCGCAGCAGAAGCTGGAGGAGACGAGCGCGTCCCTGGCCGCAGCGCTGCAGGCTGTGGAGGAGAAGATCAAGCAGGAGGACAGTCAGGCGGCAGAGTAAGGGGGCGCAGGGGGGGGTGGTGGGCCAGGGGTCAGCTCGGCTGTGACACTGGGCTGTGACACCACGGTGGGAGTGGGGTGGTGCTGGAGGAGCAGCAGGGGACCCTGGCTGGAACCGCGCTGGCGAGGTGACACTGAAGGACATCTTGCTGGAGCAGCATGGGCAGGCACGTGGGTGGCCTGGACACCCAGACACGGAGCCAGAACGCTGTGCCATGGCACTGGGGACACAGTGCAAAGGGGCAGGAGGGCCGTGCCATGGGGCAGAGGGAGCTGTGCCGTGTCCCCGTGCCATGAACTGCCCTGACCCGTCTCTTGTCACTCCCCAGCTCGGCCGTAGAGTCGAAGAGCACCGTGAGCATCCTGGACGACATCGGCAGCATGTTCGACGACCTGGCGGACCAGCTGGATGCCATGCTGGAGTGAGGGGCGCCAGGGCCCCGAGAACCTCAGGGCTTACGTGGGCACAAGGGCACAACGATCCACGACCCCCCGGCCCCGCCGCCCTCTCCCCGTCCCCTTTGTACAGCCGTCCCCTCCCGGACATCCCGTCCCTCGGGGTTTGCACAAAGAAGAAGATACCTCAGGATTGTGCTCACGGACTCGGCGCCGGCTCCGGCAGGACTCCCTTTTGCAGAAGCAAAAAAAAAACAAAACAAAAAACAAAAAACAAAAACAACCTACAGAAATAAAACCCAACAGAAGAAACAAAGCAACACGCTCCGGACCGAACCGTGCCCGGGGCTCCGGGGGGCTCCCGACTGACCCGGCCGGTGGCCACCCGTGCCCTGCCAGCCCTGGCACCGCGGGTCTCTGTGACCCGAATGTAGCACAAGCCCTGCCCGGCGTGGTGGCTCCGCCAGCCGCGTGTCACCGATGGCGTTTGCTGGTGGCAGGGCCGGGCGGGCAAATGCACTTGGGTTTCTTTGCTCCGTTTTTAATTTTGATTTTTAAACTTTGTTTTCTTTCTCGGTCGGCGTTGGCGGGGGCGGGCAAGGCTGGTGGTGGCCTTGAGGGGCAGCGGGACGTGCCCCTGCCCGGCCCCTCCCCGCCCCGGGGACAGGACGGTGATAAGCTATATAAAAAAAAAGTATTAATTTATTGGAGGGGAAAAAAAATTATAAAAAAAAAGATATAAAGCAGATTTCCCCCAACCCCAAAATAATAAAAAAGAAATAAACTTTAACAAATATATATTTAAAAGATTTAAAAATATTAGCAATTATATATAAAGCAGTTTAAAAGAAATCAAGAGAAAACTGGATTTTAGCTTGAGAAAAACTATTAGATTATACTAAGCTGTGTGTCTTGTGGCAAACTCATTCTAAGAGTAGCACAATATTTACCTTTTCTCTGGGTGGAAGGTACGTGCGAGCGGTTCTGGTCGGGTTTTCCGTTGGGATTCAGTGTCACGTCTTTCTTTTTCCACCGTTACGAACTCAAAGGATGTGCCTTGTTTTATGGAGGTTTTTGTTAATTCTTTAACACTGGAGGTGTTTCATTTCTTTTGGAGTGTCTTCAGGGTTTGGTTTGGTTTCTTTTTATTGCTTTTGCTGTCGGTCTGTGTCTGGGTGCGTGTGGGTGTGCGTGTGCCCGGTGCGGGATGCACCGCTGTATATTCCTGTACAAACTGGAGTTGGAGTCTGGTTCAGTCGCTTGAGTCCTGATGAATGCATTTTTTGCTTGTGGTTTCCAAACAAAAGTGTTGCTGTTCCTTTCTTTTCTCGAGACGTGGAGTGGTCTCTCCCTCCTTCCCTGTCCCTCCCTTGCCCTGTCTCCCCCGTCTCTCCCGTTGTGGTCGCTGATCCAGATGTGTTTGGCACAACTTTGAAATTTCTTTTGGAGAAAAAAAAAACAAAACAACAAAATACAAAAAAAAAAAAGACTCTAAAAATAATTTAAAAAAATAAATAAATCACCCGCCTGAAAATATCTGTTGAAAAAAAAATATGTATCTAAAAAAAAAAAATCCATAAAGTTCTACATGATGGATATATACATATATATATTTTTTATGATTAAGTTATGGACTCTGTATTGTATCCCATCTGTCCAGCTCTGCATCTTGGTGCTGCTCCCTGCTCTTCTGTGCTTAGATTTCACCTCTACTTGTCTTTATTCTTCCTATTCTGAATTGTAGATGGCTCGTGGTGCTGTGAAGACGTTTGCTCCTATACCAAGTCTGGCAACAAATATTTAAACAAAAATAAAAAAAATAAAACCCCTGCTGGGCTGCCACCACTGTTTGTGTCCCCAAGCCCTCCCGAGTCTTTGTGGTGTGCTGGGTGTTTGTGCTGCACGGCCCCAGGGCACCCCTGGGTGCCTCTGTGGGGTGCTGGGACCTGTCCCCAGTGAGGTGCCTGGTCCCTACACCCCAATTTTCACCCCACGGGGCCAGTGCTGGCTGCTGGCTCCCTGCAATAACTCACACCGGGCAGGAACAACTCTTTCTGCTTTTATTGTCAATGAAGAAATAATCAAATCTATATTACAATCTTAAAAACAGTAGAAAATGTGAGTAAAAATGCAACAGAGGCTTTTTGTCTTTAATGCGGAGACCATTATTACATGGTGGTGAACAATGGGCTTGTGGAACTTGATTTGAGAACTAGCTGTGGCATAAAAATCGTACCTGGCTACTCAAGGAAACATCTCTTCCCAGATGGATTGGCCCAGCGCCTTGGCAGTAAAATTAAATACTAGAGACACAAAGGGGTCGGGTGCCCACCCAGGGTCAGTCCTGCCGTGGACAGGGGCCCAGCCTCCCGGTATCCCCACCAGGACAGGCTCTGTCCAGTCCTGGTGCTGGCCTGGCCCTGAGGTGTCCAGCCCCAGCCTGGGGGTGTCCCCAGCTGGGGGGACACAGGCAGAGGAGGCCACTGGCACTGGAACAGCTACTTCTTTCCCAAACATCTGGGGCAGATCTGAGGGAACACCTGGAGTGTCCGTGGGGCAGAGCTGTCCAGAGAGCCACCAGCCAGGGCTGGGGGGGAGCTGGCCCAGGGGCAGCAGCAGCAGGCAGTGGTCGGTGCAGGAGGAGCTGCAGCAGTCGTTTCAGTGGTGTGGTCACCCACAGGCCGATGGAGGGGAGAGTTTTTGGTCTTTCAGTGTGCAGGACTCGTGTGACGCTCTCGTTAGCACGTCCAGACCTGCAGACAGACAAGGGCACAGCAGGCAGTGACTCCTGAGCAGCACTGTGGGCTTTTCCTCATCCCCCAGGGAGCTTCCCTCTGGGCTGCCAGCACCCACAACACTGTCAGGAGGGAAACCTCCCACCTGTGGAGAACTATTCCCTTGTTTCAAAGAATCCCACAATCATTAAGGTTGTAAATGACCTCCAAGATCATCGAATCCAAGCTGTGACTGATCCCTACCTGGTCACCCAGCCCAGAGCACTGAGTCATTTCCTGGACACCTCCAGGGATGAGGACTCCTCCACCTCCATGGACAGCCCCTTCTTTAGCAATCCTTTCCATGGAGAAATTCTTCCTGATGTCCAACCTGAACCTCTCCTGGCTCAGCTTGAGTTTATGCCCTTTTGTCTGGCCACTTGCTCCCTGGGAGCAGAGCTCAACCCTTACCTGGCTCCTAACTCATTTAATGCCCTAATTCCAGCACTGGATGAGCCCAAACCAGGCAGGAGAAGCCTCAGGAGAAGCTCAGGAGAAGCCTGAGCAAACCCACCTTTACAGTGCTGTCCACAGCACCGGAGAAGAGGCGGCCGCGGGACACGGCCAGGGCGGTGACGCTGCCCTGGTGGCGCAGCAGGGTCTGGGTGCAGATCATGTTGTCCATGCTCCAAACCTGCAGGGACACGGGGAGTGTGAGCTGAGCACAGCCCAGAGGGACAGAGATGCTGCATGTGACACACACAGGTGACACACAGGTGACACACAGGTGACACACAGGTGACACGTACCCTGAGCGAGCGGTCGTAGGACGCGCTGAACACTTTGGTTTGATCGGGCGTGGAGATGACGGCCAGGGCGTAGACTGTCCCCACGTGCCCGGTCAGTGTGCGGACCTGCTCCTTGGTCTCGATATCCCAGACCTGCAGGGACAGCTGGGCTGGGGCACTGCACTGGGCTGAGGCCACCCAGCTCCTCCCTGAGAGGTGTTTCTGTCTCCATGCATCGTGCCAGGGTGGGATCCCGAGGGACGGGCAGAGCCAGGTGCCCACACCCATTCCTAAGCCAAGCAGCTCATCCCAGCTGGTCCAGGTGCCCATCCCCACGCCCCTGTGCCCACCCCCATGCCAAGCAGCCCATCCCAGCTGGTCCATACGTGGATGAGGTTCTCGTAGGTGCCACACACGATGTGGTGGTTGGTCACAGCGATGGAGTACACGCTGCCTCCCGACGTCTGCAGCACGTGCACACACTCCAGGTTCCTGATGTCCCAGATCTGAGAGAGATTGAGCAGAGGCAGGATGAGACCCTTCTCCAGTGAGGAGATCCCTTGCAGCCATTCTGCCACACACAGAGTCAGCCTGGCTCCCCATGTGCCCACATCACACCTTTAGGGACAAACATATCCAGCTGGGAATGCTCAGCACTCAACAGCAAATCCCTGTTATCTTATTTAGCTGCCCAACTTTGGATATCCAGGCTGGGAACGTTGCGTGGAGACTTCACACATGTGCACACACAGCCTAGTCATTGATAGCACTAAAACCCAATGCAGACAAATTAACAGAGATTCATTAACACTGAGAAGGGCAACTTCCAATTTTCCTGTGTCCCCCAGATGCTGAGAGGTGAACTATTCATCAAAACCTGAGCCAGCACAGAGGAGGGAGGGCACTGGGAACCCTCACATGGATTTATGGTAACTCTGCAGCCAGACAGTGACCTTCCCCTGTTATCAGCAGGAGTGTCAGTGCAGATAAGGCTGAGGCAGCCACGAGGCGCCATGGCTGAGGCCCCAGTTTTTCCCATTGAATTTATCCCAGTGAGTTTATCCCAGTGACTTTATCCCAGGGAGTTTATCCCAGGGAGTCTCCCAGGCAGCTCCCGAGGCCCAGCCTGCAGAGATGGAATCAGCACAGGAAAATCCCAGGTGTCAGCAGTGCTCTCCCATCCCAGCAGCTGCCTCTGGTGCTGCTGCCCCAGTGCAGAGCACAGAGAGGAACAGGGAGAGGTGGCTCAGGGTGTCACCAGTGCCAGGCTCCCACCTTGATGGTCTGGTAAGATCCACTGTAGAGATAGTTCTGGGAAGCCACCAGTGCTCGAACCCAGTGGTTGAGACCTGTCAGCTCCTTCTTCAGCTTGAGCTCAGTACCCACAATATCCCACACCTATGGAAAGGAGGGACACACACACACACACGGGGAGGAATCTCAGTGGGGCTGGGCAGGACGTGGGCAGCAGTGCCCACCCTCCCTGCCCACCCTCACAGCTCCTGTGGGGATCCTTGTGCCAGCTCTCCTGCCTGATGGGAATTGCCTGATCCCACTGACTCACTGATAAAACCCAGGAACTGCTGAGGAAGCACATTCCCTGAGGGAGCCAGCCTGGAACCTGCATTACTGCTGGCAGAGACCCTTCCCTAGCAGAGCCACGGGCTGCAAAACCTAAACCACAGCTGCAGCAAGGAACTGCCCTGCACTCCCACAAAGCTCCTCTCCCACCCCTGGCACGCAGGGACTGGCAGATCTCACTCCCCCCACTCTGAGCCTGCTTGGCTCATTGGCAGGAAGTGGCCAGGGATGACAAACCCAAAAGGCCCCAAATTCTCTTTATGCAATGTGGCTGCTCCAGCCTTGAGCTCTCTCCAGAGCTGAACCACTCCAGGCCCCAGAGAAAGAAAAGAGCACAGTCCTCTTACAGATGGACGGGCCCATAAGCTGTCTCACCAGGAGCTGGAAGCAGAGCCATGGGAATCTAGCCAAGGCTTTAAAGGGCAGCCTGAAAAGCTGTTCCTGATTTCTGCATGTTTTAGGTAGGGAATGCAGGCTCAAGATCCTTTGGAGGCGGTTTCAAAACAGGCAGCCTGAATCTCCAGCCAGTTCTGGAGCTCAGACACAATTCCCAATGGGCTGGGCAGGTCTGTTGGGGACCTGAGGACACACATGCTCAGGAAGTGCCAGGATACCCCAGCTGCAGCCTCAGGTTTACAGAGTTGAAAGAAATACAGTGTTTTTGCAGCCAGAGAACAGCTTTCCCTTGAGCACAGAGCATGGGCTAAACCTCTGCAGTGCTGGCTGCTCTGTGGCTCAGGAGACCTTAGCAACAAGGTCACCTACAGGTCAAAATGCCACTTCCTTCCTCTTTGGACACTTCTGCCTCAGAGTTTGTACTGCTGATCCCCAAGCAGCCCCAGAGGAGCCCTGGAGCTGCACCTTGATGGCTTTGAGGGAGCCACTGAAGAGCATGTTGTGTGAGGAGACCAAAGTGCAAACAGGATTGTCGTGTGCTCGGATCGTGTTCACCTTCTGCAGGTTTTGAATATCCCAGACCTGCAAACAAGAATCATGGAATGGTTTAAGTGGGAAAAGCCCTCTAAGATCAAGGGGGTCACCCTGCCCCAGCTCAGAGCAGCAGCCTCCTGCTCCCAGGCAGGAAATCCAGCCTGCAGGAAACCCCCAAGCCAGGAGTGGACACAGCACAGGAGGGTTATCAGTCCCTGGCAGAGGAGGGACAGTCCCTGCTGCAGAGCAGGCTGTGGGTGCCCTGTACTCACAATGATGGTGCAGTCAGCAGAGCCACTGTACAGCTTGTTCCTGCAAGGGACACAGCAATGACAGCAGGGTCACAGAGGGACAGTGCCATGTGCAGGGTCCCTAGGGACAGGTGACCCTCCTCACTCACCCCTGGATGCAGAGAGCCAGCACAATTCCATCATGACCCTCCAGGGTCTTTTGGCACTTGTATGTGGTACAGGTATCCCACACCTAACAGAAAACACAAGGCAGAGGCTGGAGCTTGGGCACTGCCTGTCACCTGGGCACTGCCTGTCTGTCACCTGGGCACTGCCTGCCTGTCACCTGGGCACTGCCTGCCTGTCACCTGGGGGCTTGGCTAGCAGAGGGAATGGACTGCAGAGGCTCAGGCTGAAGCTAAGGAGACACAGGCCAGCCAGCAGCAGGAATCAGCTGCTCCAGCTCTGCCTCCCTCAGCCCAGGCCAACACAAGACATTGAGACAAAGGAGCAGCTCTCAGGCTCCTGCTTTAGCACTTCCCACCCCATCCCAGGGCTCCAATGGCACAGCACAGCTTCTTCTGCCACTGCAAAGGCTTTTCCCCTGAGCACACACTGCTCTCTGAAGAGGAACTTGGGACAGGGAGAAATCTTTCCTTCCCTAAAATACTGCAATATTCATTTCCTTCCATGTGGCTCTAAAGCCAAGGAAATGAAACCAAAGCTCTGCTCCTGGCAGGGTTAGTCATGGCAGCCCATGGGGTCCCCAGCCTGGCCAGCAGCCACCAGCAGCCACCACAGTGACACTGGGAAGGGCTGTGGAGGCTGCACAGGGCCAGTGCTGTCAGTTTGAGTTACTGAAAACAGGACAAAGAAAAACAAACATGCCATAAAATAGGGAAAGGACACATTGCATCAGGGACAAATGTTTTGTTCTAAGATGACTTTTTGTAACAAAGGAACATAAAATCAGAAGCTGAAATAGTCCTGAATACCCTAAATGCCACATAAAGCAAAACCAGCAGCTGCACGAATGAGATTCTAATCAGAGCTTTGCAAAGATCTCTGTTTGTCTCTCAATTTCACTAGCACATAATGTTTCCTTGCAGAGAATTTTGTCCAACTATAATCACAAAAAATCATTTGATTCTTTGGAGGAAACTTTAGGAAGTGACATCCCCCACCCCACAAATGAACTCAGCTTCTGTTCCACGTGCAAATGCAGAAGGTGCATGGAAGAGGGAAGCTCTTACCTTAATGGTTTTGTCTGAGGAGCCACTGAAGAGCAAGTCTCCTATGGAGTACACACACAAACACCACACGGGGCCCTGGTGGCCCACAAAGGTCCCCTTGCACTTGAAGATCTGCTGAGGATCATAGGCTGCAGAAAGGAGAGGCAGGTGAGGGAGGGACAGCAGCCAGGAGGGCTCCCTGGGCATCCCCCACAGCCAGCCCCAGGCAGTGGGCACCAGGGGGATACTCACATCCAAGGATGCCCATGTTGAGCCGAGCATTGATGTGGGAGAGCTCATCCTGAAAAACACAACAAGCTGTGTGAGCTGTGCAGCCATCCAGGCCAGCCTGCCCTGGACATGGCTTTAGGACTGTCCCCTCCACTGCTACAACCCCTCTTGTCTTCTGGACTCCCACAGAACCCTTCCTCAGCAGCCCAGAGGTCACTGCTCTACTCTGTGAGTGCCACATTCCCCTGTCACCTCCCTCCAGAGACCACAGGGCTCTGACAGCACCTCAGACCTGCACTAAACTCTTCAGTATTCAGAGAGGCCCAGAAATACCTCTCAGAATATGCTGTCCTCACTCTGCAGTTCACCAGACTGCTTGGATCTGCTTATCTCCCTGCTTTCTGCAGGCAGGGAGGAGGGGACAATGCCCAGGCTGTGTCAAAGGGCCAGGCTTTGGAGCAGAAGGCTCTCCCCAGTGCAGGAGAAGCCCAGCTAGGTGCAGAGCCAGGTAACTCCACCCCAGGGCCCATCCTCACGTTCAGCATGGAGGCATCCCTGCGGAATTCCATCAGGTCCTCGCTCAGCTTGCTCTGGTTCTCATCCAGCACATCTGCAAGAGAGGGACAGGCCCAGAGTCACTGCAGAGCCACTGATGGCATCCCAGGGACCAGGCAGAGGGTACCCACTGCCACCCAGCCTCAGAACACACTGCTGTGCCAGCAGCAGGGAAAGCTGAGCCCAAAGAGCTGCCCTGTCCCTACAGCTCTGAGCACAGAGCTCTGCTGCACACTCACCAAACTTGAGCTCCAGGTTCTTCTCCAGCTGATCGATTTTCTCAGAGAGTTTGCCCAGCATGGAGCGCAGGAAGGCGATCTCCTGGTCCTTCTGGGCCATGGCCACCTGCATCTCGTGGAAGCGATCGTCTGTCTGCTGCAGGAACTCCTTCAGACCCTCGAACTTGCACGTCTCCAGGTGGGTCTCGTAGGTGTCCTGGTTTCCTATGAATGTGCACCTGAAGGGAAGGCAGATGCTGGCTGGAGCAGGGCTCAGCTGGAGATTCCTTGCTCAGCTGGCTCCTCAGAGGAGCTCCAAGGCCTGTGTGGGTCCCCAGCTGTCCTGCTCCTCCTGCAGCAGCAGGGATTCTGTGGTTCATGATCCTTCAAAGGGTGGATTGGTCATCTTGGAGGTCCTTTCCAATTTTAATGATTCTATGATCCTGCTGGGAGAGGCAACTGCAGGACTAGACAGGCCAAGCAGCTCCCATTGTTCCAGCCAGGGCACTGGCCCCAGACTGGATTCTGTCTGGGAAGTTGCAAGGAAAAGCAGATCTTGGGCAGGAGATGGAGTGTGGCATCAGTTTGTTGTGTTCACCAGGAGCCATCAAAACCAGTGGAAAAAACTGCAGCTGACCTCAGCAGATGCTGACTCGGGCCTGCAGCATGGCACAGGGTCAGGGCTGCTTTGCCTCTGCCAGGCCATGGCTTAGGACCATGGAATCAGAGAATTGTTGGGGTTGGAAAAGGCCTCTAAGACCACTGAGCCCACTCCTTCCCCCAAGGCCACCAAGGCCACACCTACACGGCATTTAAATCCCTCAGGGACTGCACCACTGCCCTGTGCCAGTGCTGGAAGAACTTTCTGTGAACCCTCTTCCTGCAACAATAAACCCAAGCAGGGGCTGCCCTGGGGCTCGGGTGACAGGGAATCCTCTGAGGTGGATCAGCACTTCCCTTGCCCTGGGACAAGGCCTGGCTGCCAAGACACTGCCATGGTGCTCAAATTACTCCTGTCCTCATCCCCCTCTCTTCATGCTCTGACTCTCCTTCAGCTGTTCTGCCTGTGCACTCACCCTCCTCCTCCTCCTCGGGCACTGTGACCTGCCTGTTCCCACCCAGAGGCTCTGGGGCTGCCTCCTGCAATCCCTGAACCCCCCAGCTCAGCCTCAGACCAGTGCACAGCACTGGGGAGGGAGAGCAGCTCAGAGCAAAAAGCAGCTGAGTAATGAGCTCAGTGCAGCTTCCCCAGCCAAAAGCATCAGCTCCTTACCCGTACTTGGAGTGGGGACACTTGATGTGCTCACACTCCTTCAGGTGAGCCTCCAGGTTCATTTTGAGGAGGGGAGGGCAGCTGGGGTTGTTGGGGCAACGCACGGGTCTGTAATCACAGCTGCTCTCATGATCCCTGTCCATGGGGGAAGCAAAGGTAGGGAAAATCAGCAACAAGCAAAAATTAATGGGAACAACACAGTCAGTCAGGAGAGGAGCAAACCAGTCCTGTGAGGCTGTCAGATGATCCAAAGCCTCCTGCTCTGAGACTGCAATTCCAGCTTTAAATTCTCATTTGGTCAGAAAATTGAGAGTAATGATAGGCCACATTTTCACAGGGCATATCTACTTCTGCAGATGATGGACTGAGCCTTCAGGCAGCCATCAACAACGGGGAAAACAGGGAATACATTTAGGATGAGGAGGGAGACAGATTTCAAATTCATAGGATATAACTAAGATAATTCCTTTTACAAAAAGAACCCCAAGTTCTCTACTTGACCAGGGCTATGGAGTTTTTATCCCAGATGTGAGGTGGCTGCTCTCACAATGCACCTCCTGTCCCAGTACTGGTACTCAGGGAGCAGAAAAAAAAAACCAGAAAAAAACCAATCAAACAAACAAAAAAACCAATCAAACAACAAACAAACTAAAAAAAAAGGAAAAAACCAAAATAAAACAAAAAAAAACCCCCAAAAACAAAACTCCCCCAAAAAAACCCCAAAACAAAAAAAAAACCCACCAAACACCCCCAAAAAACAAAAACAAACAATAAAACACAAAAAAAAACCCACAAAAAAACCCCACAACAAAACCAAGAAAAAAAACCCCAAAAAATAAACCCCAAAATATCATCCTTCCCCTGCCACCAGCTCATTTAAACTGTCCCCTGAAGCCACCCTGCCCGTGCCCCAGGGCAGCTCAGGCTTTCTCTGGGGAGGCTGCAGGCTGCAAGAAGCACTCACTTCCTGGCACTCAGCTTGATGGTGAAGGGGCAGCCCCGGGGGTCCACCTCGAAGGCCGTGGGCTTGCTGCTGGCTGCAGGCCTGCAGCCGTACTTGCAGTGGATGAACAGCTCCCCGATCTGCTCGGCCACCGCGATGTTGTTCACCACCACTGTCAGCTTGGCATTGTCCACCGGGCACTTCTCTGCCAGGGAGGGAAAGGGTGGCATGGTCAGAAAGGGTTGAGACAAGGCAGGAAGGGTTTCTAAGAGTTCCTGAGTGGAAATTGGGTTTTTCTGCTTTCTCTGTTCAAGTCAGCCAACTCCCAGGTGAGTGGCCATGGGAATATTCACCCAAGGTCTCCAAGCTGTTATGGTTTGCCTTGGGGCTTGGAAAAGTGACAGTTTATGTTAATCCATAATGATTTGAGGGAGGTGCCAATGAAAGAAGCCCACACTGAGTATTCACAAGCAGTGAGCACAAATCACCAGATGCCCCAGCCACAACCTGCTCCTCAGCCAGGCCTGGGCTCAGCCCCTGCTGCCAACAACCACTGAAACCCAGAATCCTTTAGGCTGGAAAAGACTCCCAAGATCATGGAGTCCAAGCCCTGGATTGATCACCACCCTGTGAACTGAGCTCTGCCACATCCAGCTGTTTATGGAACACTCCAGGCATGGGGATTGCAATTGCAAAGCCTTCTGCTACAGACCTGTGGGCTGGGGTTGATATAGCAGAGCACATTGAGGGGATTAAGATGCAAAGCAGAGGGACCTCTTGCACATGGAACACAAAACTCCTAAGGCAGAAAGAGCTGCTGCTTTGCAGGACTCCCCAGGGACCTCCTCAGGGCTCACTGTTCTGGTAATGCCAATGACTTGGCTCTGTGCTGAGCAACAGCTTGCCAAGAGGGACACAGGCTCGTGCCAAAAAAAGTCTTTTTTTTTGCAGCCAGAGTCCAACCCAAGTGGGAGCTGGTTAGCCCAGGCCAGCAGCCAGGGGCTTGGGCTCACCCAGGATTCTGGAAGAGCTGGATGAGCCAAAGCAGCTCAGTCAGGGCTCAGAGCCTTGGCACTGAGGGGATGGGGGAGAAGGGGTTGATGCCAAACGTGGCCCCTGGTTCTTTATCCAGGCAGGCCACAGAAAGCTTTCAGTTTGAAACCAGTGGGTCAGCTCTGGGCGAGACATGTATTATCCTGGGATTATCCATTGCATTTTCCAGGATCTGAGAACATCCTGTGCCCAGGAGCAGGGCCCAGCCTTCTCTGCAGTGCCCATGCTCCAGAGTGCACCATCAGCCCCCAGCCCCTCACTGCTGCAGTGGCACATCTGACTGGCAGCTCGCTTTAAGCCCTTTGGACATTTTTCTGCAGGTTTCTCTTTAGGTGAAAGCAAATAAACCAGAAAATAACAGTGTTTTGGCTGCATCACACAAGGGCAGCTCTGTACTCACCAGATGTTAAGGCACATCTCCTGCAAAACGTGTGCTGTGGAGACAGAGAGGAACAGCAGCGTCAGCGCAAAGCGAGAGCTGGCAAATTATTCCCCGTGGCTGCTGATGGGAAAGGTGGGAGATAGCAAAGCCTGTGGCTCAGGAGCCTCAGCAGCTGTTCTGCCTGTTTTAGCTCAGCACCACAGGGCAAACCCCAGCTGCTTGCTCAGGCAGCTCAGGGTGAAGCACAGGTCCTGCTCCCGAGAGCACTGAACACGGTTTGGAGCTTTGATGTTCTCCCTGCTCAGGATCAGGCCATGATCGTGGTGCAAGCCAAAGCCAGGGGCATGTTCTGCCACACTCTGATATTCATGGGATCACAGAATTCTGGAACGGTTTGGGTTGGAAGGATCTTAGAGATCATCGAGTTCCAATTCTCTGCCATGGGGAGGACACCTTCCACCAGACCAGGGCTCAGAGCTCCATCCAGCCTGCTCTTCAACACATCCAAGCCTTTCCCACCCTCCACACCTGCACAGGGTTTCTCTATTTCACCCTCCACGAGAGCCAACATCATCCCTCTCATTCCCCTGAGAAGCCCTCAGGGCAGGGGAAGCCTGGCCTCTCCCTGTCCTTCAGCCCATCACATCCATCCCTCTGGAGCCCTCTTAAGGCAGCAGAAGCTGCCCTGTCCTGCTGCCAGGCAGATGGAACAGCTGCTTTGTAAGCCCATTAAATGCTCTGTAAATTTGAGCACTTTAAATAGCTCCCCTCTCCGTCCTGACAGTTTAACTTGACAAAGTAGCAAACACAATCTAACACACTAATGAACATAAAGGCTGCAGCATTTCACTGGTCCTGATCCTGCCCTGTGCATTCCCTGGAGCCTCCTCAGCCACATTCCCTGGCCACAGAGCCAGCTCTTGGCAGGGCTCTGAGTCCCCCCCCTGGAGCTGTTATCTGCTGCCCTGCTCCCATGGCCTTTTCCTGCCCGGCACAGCTGCACCGAGCTCCCTCCAGAGCTGCCAGAGCAGGACTGCAGATGAAGCCAGGCTGCTTCCTGCACTGGGGATTTTTCCACATTAACCAGTAAATCTCGGTGTCTCTGTGCAGAGCTGCTTACTGGAATGCTGCAGCCAAACTACAACAGCTTCCAGCACTTTTAGGGGAATAGCACCCTCACTGCAATAAACAATCCTGAGCTCTACTGCTGTTGCTACAGCCCCATTCTGGTGATCAGAAGCACGTCAGAAGCATTAGAGCCATCTCAAAGCCATCTTTCTTCACAAGTAGCACAGAAGCAGGAATAATATACAGCTTCTATTAAATCCCACTAAAATGGAATCCAGAAGAATATTCATAACACCCTGTGCCTTTCATTTGAGGATCTCAAATCCCTTTGCAAACATTAACTAAATGAAGCTTCAAGCCATTCTTGTTTTATAAGCAACACTTCCTTCACAAATGAAGCACAGGCATTGCTGGGGTGCCCAGGAGCTCCTGCAGAGCCCTTCCAGAGGAGTTTTCGACCTCACGGAAGCCACAACAAGAGACTGAAGATGGCCAAGACAGGGTGGCTAAAGCGCAGCTCTCCTGGGAAAAGCCATCCCATTTTAAGCAAGCCCTAGTTTTGCTTGACAATCCCCAGAAAGAGACAGAGGGGACAGTCCAGGCTTGGTTGTGGCTCACCCAGGATGTTTGGGAGAGCCCTGCCTTACCCCACAGGTTGTGATGACGGGATCCTTAAACACACTGCAGCACAGCTGGCAGCACAGCTTCACGGACGGTTGCTCTGCAAACACCAGGGGCTCCTGCAGGGCACACAGAGGGACACACACAGCCTGGGTTAGTCGAAACCAAGAGCCTGCAGCTCTGCAGAAGGAATAACACAATCTCTGAGTGGTGAGCCTCAGGGAGCCTGGGGCACACCGAGGGTTTCATTGTGTCAGCATAAAATTCTGTCTGGGTCTGCTGAGTGCAAGCAGGGGAAGAATGAACTTGGGAATGGCTGGAAACCTTCAGCTCATCACAAACTGGGGGCCACCAGCATCTGGCAGGATCAGCACCTGACAGCAAACTGAACAGACCAACTTCTTTGCCAATGATTCAAGTCACCAGAACTGGCTGGGACTTTGTCCTTGTTTGGCCTGAGCATAGAGTTGTCAAAATTGTACTAAGCCCGAGCTTAAGAGCAATTTTAAAGCAGCCTGAACTCTTGTGTTTTTGCAGCATTCTGAAGGAAGGGCTCCTTCATTCCTTGGGAAGCAGAAATAATATTGTTTCTGCTGCAATGAGCCCATCTCTCCAGTCTGGTTTACCAACTAGGACAGGCAGCACAGGGCTCCAAGCACGTCCTCCCAGAGCACCACAGCTCTCCACGCTCACATTTCAGAGCATTTCCAATCAATCTCTGCAGTTCGCCCTGTCTTTTCATCCTGTGCTGCTCTCAGAAATGCAAACACAGCCCCCTGGGTTCCCAAATATGAAACGCACTCTTATCCCAGATCAGTGGCAGAACGCTGCCTGACCTTTTATTCATTCATTTTGGATTTGGGATTGGTTACTGGGTCACAAGCTAAGCTCAGTTTAAAAGTATCCTCCCCCAGCACGTAGACAATTCCTTGCACCTTCCCAGGGTTTACAATCAAGTCTGTGGGGTGCCATGCAGCCCTGAATGGGGATGGGGCTCCAAATCCATGGGGAATTGTATTTCTCTTGCTGCCTGGGGCCAGACCACGAGCCTGAGCCTTGCAACCCGCCCTGCTCTGCTGCAGGGCCAGGGAATCACAGAGGACTTTGCAAAGACTTACAGTTTTTCTGGGAAGCAGAAAAGCCTCACCATTGTCCTCGCTTTCCAGGCAGGGCAATGGTACACGAGGAAACAAAGTCAGTGGTGGAAACAAAATTAAAAGCAGGAGTCTGAGCCAGGCACGGCACAAAATCTGCCCGTGAGAGCTCTGTGTACTCACGACAAGTCCACTAAGTTACTCTTTTGACACTGAGCTTCCTAATCCTGCTCCTTGAGACAATCCCAAATACCTACTGGCTCCTCCTCTTCCTCATGGAGTGAGAACGTGGAGCGCAAGGACATGTTGGACTCGGAGTGCAGGGAGCGGACGGAGATGGCGGAGTCGGAGCGGCGCGGGGTGCTGATGGGAGGCTGCGGACACAGAGCGCCCCTGGTCAGTGCAAACACTTCCCAAACTCCAGCAAAAGCCTTCAAGTTCGGTTTTCCCCCCACTCCACAACACTCAGCTGCTCCGCTCCCAGCTGCGCTGTGTGCCCTTCCCTGCACCGTGCCCAGAGACAGAAGCACTCGAGTTTAACTCCCTAAGCCAGGCTGACGTGGAAATTCCAAGCACATCACTTTCTCCAAGGTGCATTCCCTGCACACTTACCGTGCACACCCGCAAAGCAACGGCCTGCAAGAATTAATCCTCCATGGAAAGCTCTGTAAATCTCCCCCAGAGACTGCTCCAGCTCCTGCAATGTCTCTAATCTCTGCAGCAGCACTTGTTGTTGCACTCACTATCTAACTTCTGCCAAATTTCTTTGCGTAAGTGTGGAGACTTCCTTCTATTGAATTCTCTGTGAGCCCGGCTCGGCCGCTTCCTGCTCGGGAGGGGAGAGTGGAGCAGACACCCCGTGCACCAATCCATGGAGATCCTCTGCCTACAGCAGCCTTGGGATTGGCTTTGAGGGAATGCTGCTGCTGGACTATTAGCCAGCAGCACGGCTCCCAGGCTGGAATATCAACCATCAGCACGTAGCCAAGGTGCCACTCAGTGTCAAAGCACCCCTGCAGAGCATGGGGAGACTGGATTTGAGGATCCAGTGCAACTGGGAGTGCAGCTACTGCAGGGTTACTCTGGAAGAGATGCTGCTGGTGGACTGGAAAAGGTGCAGAGAGGAAGAATAAAGGTGTTCAATGAGCAGAATGGATGCTTTGACAAAGCAATGGAAGAATGAAGCCAGAAGCCTCAGACACTTTAGACAAGGCATGATGGATGAGCATCTGCACGTGTCCCACTCTCCAAGGCTTGGCTGTAGCCTCTGTCAGTCTCTAGCACTGAGGAGTGTTGGCTGGAAGGAGCTCTGGAGATCCTGCCCACTGGAAAAGGGACTCCCAGGCCAGGCCTGGCACTGCCCAGGGAACAGGGAAAGCTGCACACACCAGACTCTGCTGAGTTCCTGTCCTGCACCTTGTAAGAAAAACACTTTTCCTCGTGTTCCATCTGAGCCTCAGGAGCTGTGTGCCTGCCCTGGCTGAAAGGGGGTGACATCAGACCCAAGGACAGACAAAGGCAATGCAGGGGGGCAGTGGGGCCAGCAGGAAATTCAGCAATGAAAGCTGCAAGATGGAGTTCAGAGGCTGCTGCCCTCCCCAGAGACAAAGCATGCTGCAGTCCCAGTGCAGCCTGGCTGGGCTGCAGGAGAGCAGCAGAGCAGAATGCTGCTGGTTCCTCACACTGCTCTGATGCTTCATTTTTATGATCCTGGGCTCCAAGGAACTCAGAAATGCTGCATCTGCTTAGAAGCCAAAGCATAAATGTCTTCCCCTTAAAGACAGCATATTTATTGACTAAATACATAAACCTTAAGGAGGAAAGGCTATAATGAGATAAATCTATTTTATGTGTATCCATTAATTTTATTATTTTCCTCCACTAGTAGCAGAAATTATTAAAATAACCAGAATGACTGTGCATAGTTCCCACTCTGGAGGTGAGAGGGGGTGAGGGCAGCAAAGGCTCTGCAGGGAGGCAGGTTTGTCACCAGCAACATCCAGTGAGGATCACCAACAGAGAAGGGGAATGCAGCATTCCCAGAAGGCAGGGGTGTGAGACACAGGTTTGTGAATGACTGTGGGCTCAGCTCCCTGTGTCCTGGTTTGGATAATGCTGGTGTTGACTGCACAGCAGACAAGGGGATGTGCTGGGAAGGATCCCTCACTCCCCCTGGGCACAGAATGGCAGAGGGTGTGCTGGCACTTCCAGACCCTCTGGGGGTCTGCAGCCTTGGTTTTGCCAAGCAAAACAAGGATAAAACTCAAGAGACCCCATTTCTGCACTAAACATCAGGCACACCTTCAAACAGCCCAAGGATGGAGCAATTAAACATCTGATGGAAGATGGGGAGTTTTTTGCTGGCAATTCAATCCAGCCTCTGGCTCAGAGGTGAAACAGGCTTTGGGCAGCCAGGCAGCCTCCATCCATGCAGAGTACCCTATTGTTCAATATTCAGCACCAATCTTTGGCTGCATCACCTCAGCCACAGCAGCAGCCTCCAGGTGGAGGCTCCAGCACAGCCCTGCTTGCAGCTCCATCAGGCACAGCAAGGTGGGAACCTGTGGCACTGTGTGCAGGAAGGATGACAGCAGCCACTCAGCAATCCCTGCCCTGCACACGGAACACACTGCTCTGCTTTTGTTTCACTAACAGCAGCTTCACAAGGAAAGAAAAAGGGGTGGTGGAGGTCACAGGAAGGCTCTGACTCGTCTCCAACTGTCTCTCTGATGGCTGAGAAGCCCTTGGCAGCTTCTGGAGGAGGAAAAAACTCAGTGATGAGGAAGGGAAATCCCAGATTATTTCTTGACAAAGCAAATGAAGCTTCCTAAGAGGGTTAGTGAGTCTGCCTGGAGCAGCAGGCAGAGCACGACTGAGGCGGTTCTGGTTTGTCAGCACCTCACGCTGCTTCCTGAACCACTCATTAATCCTCTCACTATTTTTGCAACAGAATATTTAACACTCCAGGGAAAGTGGGCTGAGACTGTCCAAGAGGATTGAAGCTGGCTCCCAGCAGAGATCTCCCCCATTCTTGGCTGCACACCCCAGTGGGGATTTCAAAGGAGTCAAGGAGTTTCTTTATCAGACCTGGCTAAATAAAATATTCACAGCATCCCCTCCTCTGGAAAAATCCTCCCCTCTGCCCTGTGAGAACTGCCCAGCTTGTGAAAAGGGCACTGTGAGTCCAGCACTCAGCCCACAGGGTCTGTGCTGACAGCCAGGGGTGGCCTCAACACTGGCCCAGCTCCTGGGGTCAGTGGTGGGCTGGAGAGCTGCACTTGCCAAGGACACCAGGCAAATTTTCAAAGGACTTTTAGAAAAAAGACCAACAACAAACAAAACCCCCCATGGGCTCACATAAAACACAGCAAGATCTCTGAGCAACAGAAGGAACTTTATAGGATGCTGACAATAAAATTCTTTGCAATCTGGTGTCAAATTTATTTTAAGAAGTGCTGCAGCTCCACACGGCTGCTGACCCCAGTCTCTAACTCCAGCAGCAATGATCCATTTATGCCTGGCTTGGAAATTGGGTCTTGTAACCTAAGTCTACAAGTGCTTAAACTGGAGTTTGTCACTAACATGTTTATATCTGAACAGAGCTTGTGGTTGTGAGTTGTGGCTGGAGCACCAGGGACAAGAGAAGGTCCAGCCCCGGAGCTGTCCATCCTTTTATCCAGGTTTGCTTTGCTGTTGCTGTTCTTGATTTAATTGATTTAGCTAATTTCATTTCTCTCCAAGCAGCTAACCCTGGAGCCTGTTGAATCACTAAATTCACCAAAAAGAACATACTCAGAAGTGAGTGAGAAAACTGGATACAAAATTGGGAACTGCTTTACCACCAAGATATTGGGAGAGGGGGAATGGCTTGTGTGGGAAGCCCAGCACAGCCCATAGTGTCCAAAATCCCACTCTGCAGGTTCCAAACCTGCTCCCTATGGTCAGAGGCCCCATCTGGAGGTGGGAATAGGAATGGATTCTATGCAGAGCCAGCTGGGATCCATCCAACACGGAGAGTGCCTGGCCCCAGTCACAGCCCAGACATGCCTGGCAGGAGCTGTTTCCTCCCGAGCTCCCTGCTGTCCCAGGAGCCAGGTACATCCCTCCAAGGAGGCTCTGGGATTTGTAGTTCCCAGGATTTGAACCCACCTAACCATTTCAAGCAGCAGGAAAAGCAGCAGGAGCAGCTCTAACCTAAAGCCCCAGGTCAGACTGAGCTGATTCCCCACAGCACCAACCTTGGGAGCAGCCAGCAATGCTGAGGCTGATCCTGCCTCTGGGACACAGACAATGATGAGGGAGGCAGGGCAGCCCAGAGGAGCTCCAGACACCTCTCACTTCACTTCTGATCAGCTAAGCCAGTCAGGAGGGTCCTGACAACACCTACCATGCCATCATCCTCATCCCTTGGGGAGTAGGTGAGGGTGCTGGAGGAGGACGGGGTCCGACGGTGCTGCTTGAAAGTGTTGGTCCCGTCAGCTTTAAAGGGAGTGAAAAAACAAAAACAAGCATTTAGGCTCCTCAGAAACATCTCCAAGCTATGGGACAGCCTCTGTAGCTGTAAGTGTTCCTTAGAAATGGAAATTTTAGGGATTGTCCAATGTTGGTTCATGACTTGACATAGCAGCACAGGTAGAACAATCCTGATCTCTGAGAGCTTGCCCAGAAAAGAGCACAGGTAATATCCTGTCAGGTCCACAGGTTAAAAAACACTGTGAAAAGAAAACTTTATATTCCCACATATCTCAGTCACCAATAAAAATTGCTTGGATCCAGGGAGGTCTGGATATCCCTGAGGCACAGGGGAGCCATGCTAAATTAAATATAAAATATTTGTGTAGAGATCATGTAACCGACTCTTATATGTATAAAAGTCTGAATGTAAATATTCAGGAGTCCAAAACCATCCAGAGTCCAGGACAAATGTAATCCAAACATTTTTCTCAGGCACATGTTCATCTCCTTATCAAAATCAGTGTCAAGTCTTTTTGTCTCTATTAAAGGAAGGATATTTGTATTCCAAAATGAAACCAGGCCTCTTCCTACATTCACCCCACGTGCCAGGGCTCAGGCTCCCCTCACCTGCTGAGCTTTGGGGAATAAGGCACAGGAATTGTAAATGAGCAGGGACATTTGCATCCCCTCCTGTCTGAGCTAAAAATGGCCACGGGGTTTTACCAAAGCTCCAGAGTGACTCACAGTCAGGCACAGAAGAAAAATGGAATTTTCAGCATTGGTGATGATTGTCAGAGGGATCAATAAGATTTGGTGCTGATCTCAGTATCAAACCCTGTTGTACTACTCTGTTTTTCTGTTTTCTCAGTGGTACTGCTCAGGAGGAGAGAAAACTCATTTCCATCACGTCAGGACACTTGGGCTGCACAACACCAAACCCAGCCCCTCAACACCTGGTTAATGACCAGAGAGATTCTCCCAACAGCTTTTTATGATCTGTAAAACAACAACACCCACCCTGAGATCACACCCAGTACACATGAAATACTCACCCTTTGTGATGGTGGTCACAGCAGAGAAGGCTGGCCCAAAAGTTGTTTCCATTCTTGTCTGAAATATTGAAAAAAAAAAAAGAATGTCAGGGCATTTAAAGACTCATTTAAAACCTTCAGACTCTGCCTGAGCTGGTGAAATACTGCATACATATTCCAGCTTTTATCTGTGAATAGTGAGATTTTAAGTGGCAAGAAAAATACCCTATTTGAAAAGAAAGGATGAGAGCACAGGAAGCAGCCCTGCCCCCTGTCTGTGGCCTTACCCCGTTAGTGTTTTCAGGAGTAGAGATGTTTGTTGTGCCGCTGGAGAAACGATTGTAGCGAGCGTTCTTGTTTGAGCTCATAATCTAGGCCAGCATCTGTTAGTCATGGGAAGCTTGCTCTGGGGAAGAAGAAGGACACAAAGGGAGTTAGGCTCGTTGTGGGTATTTTCCTGGGTTCAGAGAACCCTCTCCTGCAGCACAAAGAGCCCAAGTGTTTCCCTAAACTCACATAAACCTGCATTTTCAGAAGCAAGAGGAGAGGACAAAGTCAGATTCCTTCAAATTGTTCCTGGGTGAGTGCTCAGCGTTTTTAAAATATATGATTATCTTTTAATAAGAGCCTCATTTCTCTCCCCTCACTGCTTCATTAGGCTCAAGTTTGCAAAGTCAAGAATTCCACGATAATCTGCAGAAACACATGGACTTTGCTTTCGTTAACCTCTGCTGAAACCTGATATTGCTTCAGGGCACAATTATGCTGCTGTCCCAGCAAATCTGACAAGATGCTCTCAGTCTCCTTCAGAGCCAGGACACCCTCAGGAAGGAGCTGCAGCTCCTCTGCAGGTGAAGTGTCTCAGGTGTTTCTAGCAATTTTTCTCTTATTTGGGAGTGACAAGTCCTAAATCTCCAAGCTCTTTATAAAAACACCACTGTGATTTTTCCACTTTACAGAAAGGGAAACTGAGGCTCAGAGAGAGAGAGAGAGAGAGAGAGGATCCCAGCAGGCAGCTGTGAGCTGGGAATTGTGCAGGGATTCCCACGTCCCTGGAGAGCCCTGGCACACAGATTTTAAAACATTGCAAAGGTGACACCGAGCTGTCCTGGGCCAAGGCTCTGCTCAGGTCCTGACACAGCACTCCTGGTGCTCCCTGCAGCTCTGGATCCAACAGATCCACATCCTGTCAGGCAGTCAGGAACAGCAGCAGCACAATCCTGAGCAGGGAATTGCTGCTCAGGTCTAAACACTGAGAATGGTCAAAAATTCTATATTAAAAAAAAAAAAAAAAAAAATTCCGAAGAAAAACCAAACAAAC